TAAGTCTTAGAATACCACTTTTGAAAATAATTTTCTATATGTCCATTAACCTCTAATTCTTATATTATAGATGGGTTCACCGATATTCAGTTTATATTGTACATCATAAACCACACAGGCTATAGTAAATATTTGTGTGCACCAAATATCGTATCATCTAAACAATTCTTTTACAGGCAAACATACCACAATTTAAATACAATAAAAGTAAGTATATTTATGTTATGATAAATATACTTATTTTGACTGAAAGCTGAAGTTAACTAAAATAGTTGAAAGAGCCTTGGGTAAACCTTTGCTGTCTTGTAAACTAGCCACGGCACAAGCCTGACAGCACAAAGAAATCCACAGCAGCGAGGTTATTTCAGTCACAGGCAGCCTCAGCAGCTTCAGTGGCTGAGTCAGACAACCTTTTCTGACAGCACGTGCATGCCAGGCTGCTTGCAGGAGACAACGCATCAACAGTTTCCTGAGTGAAGCACTCTCATCCCTCCCCATTGGTTTTCTATTATAGGCTCCTTCAAAAAAAAAAAAAAAATAGAAATAGGCCATTTCCAGAGAAACTTGGATGGTAGCTTATGCACACAGAAGACTAGCAGGGGGGTTCATAGGGAGTTGAGAGCTGAACACAATAACAGGATTCCTCCTGAGAAACAGCCCAATTAGTTCCCTTTGGAAGACTCAAGAGTCCTTGCTACTCCTTGTCATACACATGGAAGGCAACACCCAAGAGTCATTCCCTGGCTGGTTTTGCACTTGAACTTGTAAAGTTTATCAGGGAAGACTTCACCCTCACTCAAAGAGAGGGAGGTCCAGAAATAACACTGTCTGGACTGAAAAGAGAAACATCTCTCTGGCATGTGTGGCAATATGTGCCCATGTGCACTATTTTTCCCAAGTAGCTACCCAGGTCTATAAGAAGGGTAGGAAGATACAGCCAGCATCAACTGTGTCACAGCTTTGTGGGGAAGCATGCAAATAGCTGCACATTTAAAGAAATATGAATGTAATGTTCATATTGGTTTTGTTAAAAACACACATAAGTGATCACCTCTATGGTTTTATACAACTCATAAGTTTGTCTAGAAAAGTAGTCCAACTTTTTTGGCTGGTACTAGGGATCAGTTTTGTGGAAGACACTTTTTCCACAGACGGGGGTTGGGTGGGGGCATGGTTTTGGGATGAAACTGTTCCACCTCAGATCATCAGGCGTTAGATTCTCGTAAGGGCGAGCAACCTAGATCCCTCACATGCACAGTTCATAATAGGATTCCCACTCCTATGAGAATCTAATGCCAGGGCTGATCTAACAGGAGGCAGAGCTCAGGCAGTAATGTTCACTCACCCACCACTCATATCCTGCTCTGCAGCCCAGTTCCTGTACAGGTCCGTGGCCTGAGGGTTGGGGGCCCTTGGTCTAGAACACATCTGAAAAAAACTTTGCCAAAAAGGACTAATGTTTCCCTTTTGCAGAGTCTAGAAATAAGTAACACCAAGGACAATTTGATTTTATTTTAAATTCACAATAAACATACTCATTTACTTCTCAATGTAAAACATTTGCTGTAAATTATATAATTTAAAAATTATAAACAGAAAAGCAAGAGGTATGTTCCTTTGCCACCCTGCTTCTAAATCCAAAACAAATTTAAGATGCCTAAAGGAATCATTATTAGTACTTTAAATATTTATAGTTCTATCTTCCCTAAAACTCAAGTCAAAACTCAAATCACCAGGGAGAAGAAAGGTTGAGAATATACAGCACTGTGGAGTGTGAAGATGCTGGCATAGAGCTTTAAGAGACAAGCTCTAATCCAGATTCTACAATTCAAAAGAAAGGAGATGAGCTAAGAGTTTTTTATTAAAAAAAAAAAAAAAAAAGATGCCATTGACTATGTTACATAGGGGGTAGTCACGCTGGTTATGCCTCCCACTGCTTAAGATACTATAGTACTAAAACAGACATTCAGTCACCACATTTAGAAAAATACGTAAAAAGCTTAAAGGTCAAAGGCTAGACAACAGAATGAAAAGAGTTCAAGAGAAACACTGAAGGAATGCACGGGGCCACTGAACACAGGATGATGCCTTTCTCAAAGACATCTCTAAAGTAGACGGTACTAGAAGAAAAAAAAAAGACTACAACTGAAATAATTGTCAAGGAAGGTCTGGGATAGAAAAATAAGCTGGGGGAAAAAAAAAAAAAACTCCTTATTTGCTTGTATCTAATAGTTAGCATTCAAATGGGCTACTTCTGGAGATATCTTCCAAGAGTTTAAAGCATCCATTGATAGATAATATGGAAGCATTTCATAACATAATGGAAAAGAGTAGACACCCTGGAATCAGTTTCTCTGTGGGTCTATCCTGGTTCCACCTAAGCTGTGGGATATGGGGTATACAACTTAACTTCTCTATGCCTTTAAGTCATCACCTCTAAAATAAAGATAATTGTTATTCCTATCTCATAAGACTATTGTGAGAATTTAAAATAATGCACATAAGGAATATGGTAGTGACTGACACATAGTAAATGCTTGAATAGTAGCTAACATTATTAGCATTTTGCATGCAGAAGAACATGCAGTTAACTTAATGATCTCTGAAGATTCCTCTTAAATGTTGCACTTTAGAGACTAGCTCATAATCATCCATCCCACTATGACCCCCATAAAAGAAAGCAAGATGGGGCTTGAAAAGTCATAGAAACCTGGAGGCCAGTGCAGGGGGCTAGAGGTCCAGGGTACTCACTGGACTCAAAATACAAGTCACAAAGCCAAATCAGACTTCATATCAGAAAATGCCCAATCTAGGCACTAACTCCAATTCTAAATTATTTTCCACTTTCGAGAGCACAGTTCTTACAATTCAATCTATGGTCATGTTTCTACTATATATACTATATGTTTCTACTATGAACAGGTGTCAGGGGTAGGTTTACAATATCCTATAGTCCAAAGAGCTGTTTTGCTTATGTTCCTGAACTAGTATAACAGATTATTCTTGATCCTTCTAATCCAGCTTTGTCCAATAAAACTTCCTGCAATGATAATGTTTACTTGTGCTGATCAATACAGTAATCATGTATTGTAATCAAATCAAGCCACATGTAACTTTACTTGATATGGGACTATTATAAATGTAAATTCAATTTCTCAGTCAATTTTATTTTTTATTTTTTATTTTTTTGAGACAGGGTCTCACTCTGTGGCCCAGTCTGGAGCACAGTGGCACAGTCACAGCTCACTGCAGCCTTGACCTCCTGGACTCAGGCGATCCTCACACCTCAGCTGCCGGGTAGCTGGGACTCACGCACATGCCACCACATCTGGCTAATTTTTTGTAATTTTTTGTAGACACAGGGTTTCACCATGTTGCCCTCCAACATCTGGGCTCAAGCGATCCACCTGCCTCAGCCTTCCAAAGTGCTGGGATAACAGGTCTGAGCCACCATGCCATAATTTTAATTTTACAAGTCACATGTGGCTAGTGGCTACCATACTGGAAAGTGTAGTGAATTAGGAGCGGTTGCCCATTTCACTGTATTGAAAGAGACCCTAATGTGTGTCTTGGCCTACCAGGAAAGCATTCTGTGATCCATCAGAGATGTCTGTTCCAGGACACAGAAGGGCAGGCTTTATTACATTTGTAGGCTCAGTTAAAGGATTTTCTCTCCTTAGGCCAAAAGAGTCTCTCTTTCCTAATACCTACAATGATTCTTCAACACAAGGTTATTTTCTGCTCTTGTAAGAAATGAAATGCACTGAAAAGAACCAGATTATAACAGGAAAAATTTTAAAAAGAACTTCACCCAGGATAATGCATAATGCCCCTCTGTACTCTGGGAAGAAATACTGGTTTCTGACAGTTTTAAAGAAATACAGGAGGTCAACAGGGTATAAAAATATTGATTATTTTAAGCTATGCTGTAGGTCTTTTTTCAGTAACACTAAAGTTGTGTGCCACGGACAGGTCATTAAGATGGATGAATAAATTAAAGATAGGTTATACAGAAAGTGTAAGCCACATTATCCATTTTGAAGGCAGAAAATGTAAAGCCATTGCAAAAGGAACCACCACGCCTTGGTTGAAAGTAACATATACCTCAGCACTTTAAAAATAGCACACGTCTTTTTCCAAGAAAGGAACAAAACTCTAACATTTGATTGTTTCAAAATACACTGTACTGACTTCATGAAACATTACCTTAAACTTGTATAAATGAATCAAAAGATACCACATACAACATCTGCCATCATGAGAAAAATCACTAAGGAACCTATGTATTTTCAATTCCAGATCCCAATAGGGGTCCTATAAAGTTCCCCCAAGGAAAAACTATCTCAAACTCCCATGAAAATTCGGTTCCAAGTTGATCCTCAAGGCCTCAAGTTGAGAACCATTTGAAGTCTTCTTTGAGGTTCAATATGTTACAACCAAAATGGCACAGTTTTGGTATAAGCCCCTGTTTCTGCCCTGGATCCTTAAGCCTGGGAAGGTTACAGAATTATTCAAGCCTCTTCCAAATACTGAGATACTCAAAGGACAGTCAGTGCCTGAATATGCTCTGAATGGAACCACCTCAAAGTAGTTATTTGTGCAACGCTCTTCCCTTAAAGTCACAAAATCTATCACAGTAAGATCATGAACTTCTGACACATTTACTATTTTCCAGGGATTCCACATACATAAATTCATCTTGGGATTTCACTCAAGGAGATCTATTTCATTTAAGGATCAAAGGACTTTTATAAGCTGGTCCCATTGCTTGATTCCCAAAGAGAGCCTTCTAGTGAGACCCTATCTAACCAGAAAGCTGAAGTTACAGCAAAATTTTAACTATTATATATTCAGATAGAATGGATCCACTTCCAAAACAAAACAAAACAAAATCTGTCATTGTTATCCAGAAAACAAATGAACTGTGGTACTTTTTATTGAATTAACACTTAACATCAAGTTAAATAATTAACACCAAGAATTCAAAAATAACCTCTTACCTCTACCACTGTGGTGTCTGCAGCTTTGCACATTGGCAAGTTGAAATTTCTTGCACTTTTCCTACATCAGGGGTGGACGAGAAAAGAAAGTTGGGGGGAAAAGACCAAAACTAAACATCTCTGTCACCTTTAAGGGTTTATAGATTAGAATTTCTATGAACTAAGAATCTAAGAATCTTTCTAAAAAGAGTGTATCATATTTTCCATTAATAAATTTTCAAAAATATCTCATAAATTTTAAAAAATAACTACTTTATTCAATGTATATAGTTTTGTTTTGAACAGGATTGAGGGAAAGAGGAACTATTTTTTCACATTCAACATATAGCCACAACAAAAAAAGAATATTAATAAATCTAAGTTAATTTCCCTTAATCTTTTAACAAGTATGCTTTGTCCCTATTAGTTAAATATTTCATTCAACCACTTGCTTTCATTAAAATATTAAGAAAGGAAAAGTAGCAAATGCTTCACATAAGAAGGTATAGTAATTACATTCTCTATTGAAGAGAAGAAGCCTATTGCTGAAACTAAATGAAACATTCATTGATAATTTGTGAGTCACCTATAAAGATAACTCTGGAGAATCATTTTCTGATGAAGTTTTTGAAAGTACAACACCCATATCAGACCTTGAGGTGTAAAAATTTCGAAGAGGTGCTAATTTTGCTGATGGTTTTGCACTCTGATGTTCCTCAATACAGTTCCCCTAATGATAAAAATTAAAATATACTTTTTGTCTCTGGGAATATAGGTTGACAGCAGAATTTCTTTGGTAGAAGGAAGTAAGTCACAGCCATGTTTTACTAGCTCTTTTTGAGCCACCAATATTTCTTTTGCCCAGATTGAAGAATTAGTACAGGAATAGGAGCATCCTTGAGAAAGGAGCCCTCGTGAACTTTCACAAGTTGCTGGGTTAGATCCCACCAGACATCCAGGCATCAAAAGCTCCAAGGGCAGAATGGTCAGAGGCAAAGGAGTCCCAAGTCCCTCACTTGAATAACCTAGACAGACTTCTGTTCCAGCTGTCCCACTAAATATGAAGTCAGTCCTAAGGTCACTTGATCATTGGTGATGCAAGCTTTCACTTCACACCAGAACTCATTAACCACCAGCATAAAGTCAGTGCCTAGAATAGCCCTTGTGTAGCCTTTAAATACCAGAGGCAGCCACTGTAGCACAGAATAAATGTGGGAATATTTTCAATAATTCCTTTCTGCTTTGTAGTACACAATTTTGTTAATCTTTTTAAAAAAGCAACTAAGCATTTGTAAATATTACACAAACGTGTCACATGAGGTAAAGATGATGTAAAATGTCTCCTGTTATTGCCAAAATTAGTTGTACTTTAAAAAACTGACTAAAGAAATCAAAGAGCATTAATATCTCGTAAGTCCTTCAGAAATAAAAAGCGGTATGAGAGTATCACTGAGAATTTAATTGTAATTGCACCAAAACTGCATTTGCTAAAGATTTAAAAATTGTTAATTGAAAGCAGCAAATGATAAATGAGCAAAAACAATGATTTCTGTAATCTGATACGTAAAGTCTTCAAGATCAAACAGTTTGGAAAACTAAAGTGTACACTCGAAGGTTTCATAATCCTCAAAAAACAACTATATAAATCTATAAATCCAGGAAATAAATACTTACTATGCTTACAATAACCAAAATATTTTAAAATCTATAAAGTCTGTCACTAACCAGAGAGTGAGGATTGAAAATTTAGTATTATAAAGGTTAACCAATTTTTCAGATAGGACCTTTGTAAGCATTTCCTAGAAGACACTAAAAGGACTGAAGGACTGACCCCAAAGATTATTAGCAGTATCCTTTCAAAATATCACATTAACTTTGACATTTTAAGACAATACATGTAAATTAGAGTATCGATTAAATTAAATTGTATGATGTCATATTTTCTAAACATGTAACTGATCTTGGCAACTAAAATACACAAGAAGAAAAACAATTGGACAAGCCTATATAAAAGGGCATATAACTTCAAATATTTAACAAGCACTGCAACATGGATATCAACCAGTCCAAACAGACTCCCACAAGTGGACATACCAGCAGCCCTGCACACACCTATATATGTGCAATACACATGGGCGTGTATGATCTTGGGCCATTTCCGAAATACATTTTTAAACTGCAAATTTGCTCTGATGTCCATTTTTGTAATCATAATTTAGAAAATATAGAGTTGCTGATATGTACGAGTGTTTTTAAAACTATCACAATACCTGAAAATCACGTTTCCTGCTCGGTCCGCCTTCCAGGCTTTCACCAAAGCAAAATCCCCTGTAATTGCTTCCTCCAAAATAAAGTGCTGACCATTGAACTCCCTCACCTGCAGAAGAGGCAGAAGGCATTGTCAGGTATTTGCACAGGTCTTGATTGTGATAGAGGCCCTCCGATAGAGACACTCTGACAGAGGTAGATAATAAGGATACAAGCCTAGCAAGGGAAAATTTCTCAGAGGGAAAAGCATCTCAGAAACTTCAAGGATAAGCAGTGTTAGGCAAAAAGGACTTAGTCAAAGTGGTCAAAGGCGAGCTAAGGAAACAGATAAGTAAAGGTCCAGTGACAAAAGAAAACGTGTGCATTTGAGGAACTGAAAGTTCTATGGCCTGAAGGATAGACTATTCTCATTTTACTATTTGTATGTACAGGTTATATATTGAATATGAAAAATAGTCCCTCTTTCCCTCCCCCTGAAAAAAATAGTTTGCATAAAACGGTCTATGCAATATTGTTTTTCTACATAAAACAGTTACAAAAATCTATCATTCGGATATCCTCATTAACCTATAATCACCTGTTGAGATTTTAAATGGGATTCACAGAATCAGTAAATTTGGAGAAAACCAACATGCCCTATCTTCCCACCCATGAGCATAGCATATGTCTCCATTTACTGAGGTTTTCTTTGACCTCCTTCAATAGCTTTATCATTTTCTCCATAAAAGCTTTATATATTTTTCTTTGGTTTATTTATAGGTACTTAGTGGTTTCTCTTGCTACTGTGAATATTACATTTGCTCCTATCTACTCTTCTGACATTACTGGTCTAGGGAATGCTATTGATTTTTATTTATATTTATTGCCTTTTAATTATACTACGAATTTTGGGGGGAAGAACATAAAGCAAAACTGTCTTGCCATCATGTTCTTTTATTCTTGAGGGCTTATCTCCAGGAATTAAAACAAACATCCATTGCCACACTTCATCATGGCACAAAATGGAGCCATGGGAATGCAGAACTCCATTCTCATCCCTATTGCACCCCCTAGTGGAAAAACAGACTGCGTTTTACAAAAAGCTGCTATAGAAAATTGTGGTACATTTACTTCAACCACGGTTTGAAACAAAACTTTTCTTAAATAAAAGCTACTTTAAAGACATTAACCAAGTTGCCTGCTAGAAAAAAGACTAATGAACTTAGGGAATAACTGATGAATGAGGATCTTACTATAGGAACTAAGATAAATTATATGAAAGATATTTCTGAACCACATATCAATATACTAAGTTATTTTGTAATGGCTTATGTATTTCAAAAATCACTGTAAATACCAACAATGATAGTTCAGTATTTTACACACAGATCTAGAAAACTGGGGTAAATATATGCAAATGTAAGGCAAAGTCAATAAATACGCTTCTTTTATATTCCAGTTACATAATTTTCTGGTATGTCTACACAGCTGTTGCTGAGTGTTAGTTTTACTGAAATTTAAAAATGGGGAAGAAATTGGTTTTATCATACTAGCTATTTTACTCACTTGAAAGAATTGTACATTTCATAGTCACCACTTCCTCACTTTTTGGTTCTTTCTCAAATCTAATGAGATTTTCATCCCCTCTATTCCAAAAAGGAATAATTCTTAAAGTTGTCAATGACCTCTGTTTTTGCAAATCCAGTTATTCAATTCCAGGTCCTGTATTACCAACCTTTTCACACTCAGTTAATCATTCCCTTCTTTTTAAAATTTCTGTTATCTTTCAAGTTGCCAGATGCCCCTGGGTTTCTTCTTCACTTACTAGTCATTCTTTCCCATTTCTCTTTGCTGCTCCTTCTCTTGCCAATCTCTAAATGTCAATGAGGTGTTCTCTATCTGCACTCAGCCCCTAGACACTCATCTAGTATATAGATTGAAATACTACATGCTGATGCCTCCAAAGTCTCTGTTCTGGCTCTAGACTCTGCCCTGATCTGAAGTCCACTAAGCACCTCCTCTTGGAGTCTAATGAACATCTCCAATGCACCATGTCCCAAACAGAGCTCATTGACAAGGCCCATGCTTCACTCATCTTACACAGTATGCTTGACTCCTCTTATACCCCTTACCCATCCACCAGCAAATCCTGTGAGCTCTACCATCAATGTAACATCAATTCCAACCACTTCTCTCAAACTCCACTGTTACCACCTTGGTCTAGCCACCTTCCATTCCCACCTAAATTAACACAACAGCCTCCTAAACCCTCTCTCACTGCTTCTGCTCTTGGCTTCCTAGCAAAAAAAAAAAAAAAAAAAAAGCCAGGCGCAGTGGCTCATGCCTGTAATCCCAGCACTTTGGGAGGCCGAGGTGGGCAGATCACGAAGTCAGGAGATCGAGACCATCCTGGCTAACATGGTGAAACCCCGTCTCTCCTAAAAAATACAAAAAATTAGCCGGGCATGGTGGCGGGTGCTTGTAGTCCCAGCCCTTGGCGGGCTGAGGCAGGAGAATGGCGTGAACCCAGGAGGCAGAGCTTGTAGTGAGCCAAGATAGCACCACTGCACTCCAGCCTGGGCAACAGAGTGAGACTCCGTCTCAAATTAAAAAATAAATAAATAAATAAATAAATAAATAAATAAATAAATAAAAAGAGAGAGAGAGAACAAGAACCACCACCCCAGCAGCCACAGTGATAGTTACAAAACACAACTCAAATTACATCACTCTCACCCTTATTCAAAATCCATAGGCTTCCCACTATGTCCAGTAAAATTCAAACTGCATGAATTTGGCTCCTGCCTCTCTTCAGTCTCCATCCTTATCACTCTCTGTCTCATGTGCTGTTCCAGGCTCACCACCCTACTGTTCCCCAAACACCGCAAGCCTGTAGCTGCCTCGGCACCTTGTACTTACTCTTCCTTCTAAATAGAGCACAAACGCTCTTATCTCCACTTGCCTCGTTCTGCTACCTTATTCAGGTCTCTACCAAGTGTCACCTCCCCAGAGAAGCTCTCCCTGGCCACCAATATGGAATACCAGCTGCCTGGCCAATGATAATTAATTCTCTTTGCCCTTAATCTACTTGATTTGTCTTCACAGTACTTCCACTATAGACACTATGCATTTATTCATTCACTGTCAGTTCTTCCACTTGTAGGAGGACTTGATCTAGATCATTTTACCACAGTGCTTAGACCAGGGCTAGGCAAAGAGTAGGACCTCAATAAATATCACTAATTTAGAAATTAACTCACTTCTTCCTACTGTAAGTAAAAAAAAGAAAGTGCTAAGAATTAAGAAATAAATTATCTGTCACATTCCTAGGGAATTCAGACAAAATTACAAAACTACTAGTTTGAGGCACCTGACTCCAGGCAGAAATGAATAAAGAAATATTTTAGTCTCATATTTTCCCAAGGTGAACTAATTCTCCAACTTCTAGGAAGCTATCAAAGTATTTATCACAAGTTTTCTGGGAACCTTTATGACATACTACTACAGTTCATTTTAATAATTAAGCTCCCGTCTTTTACTTTGTCAAGAAGCCTTTTAAACTTATTTAGACAGTAAAGGAAAAAGATAAAACATAAAAAACACATTAATAAAAGCTTTGAATCCACATAGATCACTCTCAACAGAAAGATGTCTCCAGATGGAAGATACGGCTAAAGACCAACACTGAACATCAAAGGACGTATTCAGTGACCTCTGATCTTCCCTCTGATCGTTCCTTAGAATGGGAGGGGCAGAGCCAGCATCCCCATATGCAGAAAAGTGATAAGAGATCCCCTGATTTACTATGTTCACTTCCCCAGAGATACGTACAGCATTTCTGCAACCTGTGTTAACTCTCTTTGGCCATCTGGACAAGGAGAATGGAAAGATACTAAAAAATACTGTAATGAAATACTGGCCAGTGTAATTTTCGAAATTTTCTCCAATCTGAGCATCTCAAATACCTTTATCTGAAGTTCTACTCTTCTATAATATGTAAGTGATGTTGCCTACAATAAACGTACCCCATCCTACTCAGCACTTTAAATAGAAGTAGGTTATTCCATCAAAAGCTCAAATGTGTCCAAGATACAAAATAAAAAGTGATCATATGATCTCTCTATTCTATCATAACAGTTCCTTTCAAGGTTTCAGACAAACATATTATTTCCTTGTATTTTTCTTCCTACAGTCACTTTAGGAAGGGCCTGAGCATAAAGAGTTTGCTAGCATGCATATCACAACTGCTGTATTTTCCATATAAGCATAATCAGCAAGTACAACTGTTTCTCAATTTGTTAAAGCCTACCATAAAATCAGTTCAAGTAACTAACCTTGACTAGTACATCACATGTGGATTACACCTTTTTTTCCTTCTTTTTATTCTAGTTTCTCTATGTGATTTTAAATGCTAGTAGATGCCTAGATTTAGCTAGATTTTCACCTGTTTATGAAAATGAATGAGTGCTTTTTCTCACACAGAGGTGATTTTACACTTATTTGCCCAATGAGTCCACCCAGAATCCCACATGGAAAGAGGGATCCTGGCGTAATCTGGATAAGAGTCTTTCTTACCTCTCTTGGCTTACTGGCAATGGCAACACTGCCATCTTTGTTGTATTTGATGGGCGATCCTCCTTCTTGTACCAGCGTCCCATACCCTGTGGGGGTGTAAAATGCAGGAACTCCAGCCCCGCCTGCACGGATCCTCTCTGCAAGTGTGCCCTACAAGTGAGCAACCAACACCCTCTAAGTTCACTAAGCACACTTCTGTATGTGAACACAAACATTTAGACATGGCTCCTACTCTCTAGAGGCTTATAATTCTAAAAAGCAGCTAGCATTGTATATTAGCATGAGTATTTCACTAATATTGTATGCTAGAAGATCAATTTTAAGAAGTTACTGCCCCTCTAGATCCATTCTAAATCCGCATTCAAAATGTACCTGCTTATTTGTATAGTCATGCTTTCAGTTTCCATACCTCCCATTGATCTCTTGACATATTTTAAATGTGTCTATTTTTGATATTCTAAGTCAATTTTAAAACCTGAATTATGAAACTTTACTTATATACATTAAGTAATGCAATTAAATTGTTTTATTTCATGCTCTATGTAGGTATGCTAAATTTTATTCAAGTTAATAATGTAAAGTGTTCAAATTTTAGAGCTTATTTTAAACCATTTTCATAAGTATTTTTATCTACAAATTGTCTAAGAAAAAAAACAAAGTGAAAAATATGGCACACAGGTGAATTGGTTTTTAAAAGCCAAGAGTACATCAAATCGTTTCAGAGTAGAAACAGCTGCAAGCAAAGTTTCTTTGTATCTTCTTTGGATCATCATCTTTCCCATGGGTGACTCTTCTTCCTAGGTACCAGTGATTTTAAGACTAGTTTCCCTAGTTCTCTCACTCTCAACTGTTTTTCTACCCACATTTTCCCTAAGGAATCAACTCTGGCCCTGAACCTTGACACCCTTCCTAACACTGAAGCCAACTGTGATAGCCTTGTTACATGACAGTCTTACTAGAAAACTGACAGGCTAGTCAGTAGTCAAAAATTGGGGCTGGACACCATGGCTCATGGCTGTAAATCCCAGTGCTTTGGGAGGCGAAAGATCACTTGAGGCCAGGAGTTCGAGACCAGCCAAGACAACATAATGAGATCTGTCTCTATGAAAAAAAAGAATTGGTTCATGGTATTAATGATGATGTGTTCATATCGTCCCAACCTTAAAAACTATTTTCTACTTTAACAGGACTCTAAGTATTCAACTCGAAGAAGAAACTAACAGTTGGTACTTGAGACACTGAGTCACTCAAGTAGGCAGAATATTCTGGGGAAAGAGAGGCTTGGGGTATAACTGAAAATCTTCCAGATAACTGATTATCTAATCAATGGAAAGAGATGACTCTACCTTGTGTTGTGAAGTTAGTAACATTCACAAAAAATTAAATCATCAAAATTACCATACTACTACTCCCTGCCTTAAAATATGTTTTATATATACCATCCCTGAATACCCCCCTTCTATCATACTAAGTAAGGGCCTGAAAGTAGACTATTTCTGCAGACAGGCCTTCCGTAGGTGCCACCAGCTCCTTACCTTCACCCACCAAAGAAGTCCTGATCCCCACCATCGACACTCCTCCCCCTAGCCTTCAGGCTGCAAAATAAGCTGCCAGAGCCAGTGTTTACTAATGGACCGCTAAGTTGGGGAAAGAGACACTGACCTCTCTTAGCCTGAAGAAAAACTGTAAAAAATATATATTTTATATATATATGTGTGTATAAAAACGATGTACATACTTTCTGACAAAATAAGGAGTAACATAAAAGATACCAAGGGTAATCAAAAGGTTAATTTTCAATAGCTCCACAACCCAAAGAATACTGTATCTCAACCTATCATGTGAAAAATACTGCTATGGACTGAACTGTGTTCTCCCCAAAATTCATATGTTGAATTCATAGTCACCAATGTGACTGTATTAAGATAGGGCCTATAAGGAGCTCATCAAGGTTGAAGGAAGTCAAAAAGGTGGGGCCCTGATCTGGTATGATTAGTGTTCCTACAAGAAGGGTCCTACAAGAAGAGACACCCAGAGTGTGAGCATGCACGCTCTCCGCCATGCAAGAACGGTGAGAAGTCGGCCATCCGCAAGCCAAGGAGGACTTCCAAGCCTTCAGAACTGTGAGAAACTTCTGTTGTTTAAGCCACCAGTCTGTGATATTTTGTTATAGCAGCCTGAGCAGACTAAGACATCTTTGTTTTTCTGGGGTTTTTTTGTTTTTGTTTTTTTTCAAAAAACTGAGAAAATGGAATAAATACCAAGCCCAGTGCAGTGCTATGGTATGTACAGGTAAGAGTACTATAGAGTGACCAGGTGTGACTACAACACATGAGCCTCAGAATAGTTCCCCACGTGTGCTTTCTAGACAAACACACAATGATTTAATTATTAATTTTTTAAAATCTACTAAATTATGTTATTACCAACTTGGCAAAGTCAGTGGCAGTATTTTCTGCTGACTAAAATAAAGCAGACTGACTCAGTTCAAGAGTTGAGAGCAGAGCATGTCAAAAATGAAAGAAAACTGTAGACCCTTCTTTTACTTAAAGGCTTCAAAAAGTTTTCCTTTCTTTATGTATAACTCCAATTAGTTAAGAGATGATACAGAAAATGAATGAAAAGTTGCTAGATTAATTATAGTAACCGCTTGCTTTGTAGTAACACCAGTTCCCTGGAAATCTAGGTTCTGATCCCAGCACTTACTCAGATATAGTCACCTGCACCTTTCATGGGCTTCACTCTGATGTGTCTCAGCAAGACCAGATCACTCACAAATTTCTAGTTCTAAAGCTCATAGAAATTGGAGGGGCATGGTGGCTCACACCTGTGAGGCCAAGGCAGGTGGCTCATTTGAGGTCAGGAGTTTAAGACCAGCCTGGCCAAGATGGTGAAACCCCGTCTCCACTAAAAATACAGAAAACAAAAGTAGCTGGGCGTGGTGGCACATGCCTGTAATCTCAGTTTCTCAGGAGGCTGAGGCAGGAGAATTGCTTGAACTCGGGAGGTGGAGGTTGCAGTGAACCGAGATCACACCGCTGCACTCCACCCTGGGTGACAGAGTGAGACTCCACCTCAAAAAACATTAAAAATAAATTCATATAAATTAACTTTTTAGGATGATTCTCAAACATTCCAGCAAATCCTTTCTGTATGCTTCTGGCACAATACACATTACAGTGCCAAACTTAAAATCTTATCTTGCAGACTGGATATCTTTTAGAAATATCTCCTCTTTCAGTATACAGTAGAAGAAAATATTAATCTTTCAGCAATCAACAGGTGTGACTTAGAAACTAAATTCCTTGGTTTGGCAAAGTAGTATTCCCTCTGCCTTACCTCTCTTGCACAGCGAAATTTCTAGGGAGAAAAAAGAATTTTTAAAGTTTAAGTTAGTACTATAAAAGCAAATCTTCTCACCTGTGGTGTCAGCTCCACTTCTAATTCACCAGATAAGTACTGTCGTTCAAATTCTGCATTTTCTCCCACATATGAAGAGATCATGCGTTTTATCTGGTTGGACCGAAGCAAAAGCCCCAAACCAAAATTGTCAACCCTAGAAGGAAAATGAAGGGAGCTTACCAATGAGCATCTGACAGAACACTATTACATCTTTTCAAAGAGATAAAACTTGGTTAATTTAAAGAAAAATAAATCCTCTCTTATAGGCATTTAATCCATATTTTCAGTCTCCCATAACCCCAAAACTCTTGCAAGGTAGCTACCCTTTTATTTTACAGTTGAAGAAACTAAAACTCAAGAAGTTTAAGTGATTCTTTTGTGGGGTCGGAGCATGCACAGGGCAAGGTCTTGGGCAGTAAGGGACATACGGCCAATATTCACACCCATGTTCACCCTACAGTTTTACTCCATACCTTTTGTTATTTTCATGGCTACAGAGTGATTCTGAGTTAGAAGATAAGCAAAGAGATGAATTGGTTCTTGTCCTGTGCTTTGAAGGAACACATAAATGCAGTGGCAATATACTGACCCAAAAGAAGATTTGGATGGAGAAGCTCTTTCTCTTCTAAAAAGGAAAGAGGGCATTCTGGTATTTAAAAGAGAGATTAACATACTCATTGAAATGTGGACCCAAATTATAAATAGCTATGAACATTTTCCCTATATCATAAATATTTTGCTCAAGATTTCCACATTTGAACACTCTTAACAAAAACAACAACAACAAAAAAACAAATAAACAAAAAATCACAAGCCAGTGAAGAGTATAAGTGGAAACAATAATCCTGTATCTGTTAAATTATATATACTATAGTTTAATATCTTCATTATTTTAAAGCTGGTGCTCAATTTATTCTTAGAAATGGTATACACAGTGTTGACTTTATTTTTCCATTGGGTGAAGGTCTCCAGGTTTATGTCTTTCTTTATTTCTATTATTTTTCAAAGCAAAATATGCCTAGAATTTAAAGCAAAGTCAATGTAACAGGACAGATAACTGAATGAATTATTTTTCCATTTCAGTCACCTTAAAGACTGAAGATCATTTTCCATTCAAGAGTCAGAAATATTTTAACCAACTAGAGAAATAAAACATTTCTAAGACAAGAATACTTGACCTTAAGCTGTTTTTAATGGTGAAATTTTTTAATGGCGAAATATTTTAATGATGAAATATTTATTTAATGGTGAAATATTTTTAATGGTGAAATATCTTTTAATGGTGAAATATTTTTTAATGGTGAAATATTTTTAATGGCGAAATATCTTTTAATGGTGAAATATTTTTTAGTGGTGAAATTTTTTTAATGGGGAAATATTTTTAGTAGCAAAACACTTTTAATGGCAAAAAGTATGATGAGACACCACCACAAATATGAAGGGATGGCTAAAAAAGAAGAAAATACCAAATCTCAACAAAGATGTGAAACAATCAGAACTCTCATATGTGCTAAGGGGAATATAAACTGAAATGACCATTTTGGAAAAACTGTTAATACCTACTAATGTTGAATATATCCATATCCTATGGGTCAGCAATTCCATTCTAGGTCTATAAGCAACAGAAACGCATACTTAGGTTCACCACAAGACATATACAAGAAAATTCATAGCAGCACTGTTCATTATGGCCAAAATTGGAGCCTCCAAAATGCTCATCAGCAAATAGATAATTGTGGCATACTACATAATGAAGTGGGTATAGCAGTGAGAATGACTGATCTATAACCATTAGCAACAATGGTTGAATTTCACAGATTAATGTTGAGCGAAAGCCAGACACAAGAGTATACACTGAAATATTCCTTTAATATGATGTTCAAAATCAGACAAAACAAATTTATAAGGATCAAAAGTAAGGCTAACGATTAATGTTGGTAGTGGAATAAGAGAATAGTGACTGGAAGGAGCAGGAAGAAGGCTTCCTGGGGTACTGGTCATGTTCCATTTATCTATCTGGGCATTGATGACATGGGTGTGCAGCTTGTAAAACTCCATCAAACTGTATTTATGAGATGTTCACTTTTCTACATCACTCCATACTATGCTTCAAGAAAGCCTTTTAAGAGACAGAAATGTACTGATAAGGACCAGAGTGCTTCCTAGAAACAGAAGTTTTTATTTACAATCTCTCCCTCCTAATTCCTTTAGTGCTCTGATGGTTCCTTCCCTACAGAGCTTGTGTCATCTACACAGTTCATTCATCTAGAACTCCCTTACTGAGTGCTTATTCTACCACAGGTTTGTTAACTCATCTAAAATTCCCTTACTGAGTGCTTATTCTATCCCTGTGTCAGGCTCTGGAGCTACAATCATGAATAAGACCTGGTCCTGGGCAGCTCTGAAACTGACAAAATAAACACGTAACCTATAATTACAACAGAGGGAGAGACAAGCTAAGGGAATTAGGCGCAAATTGTGATAATTCTGAAAATGGAGAACCCAACTTTTGGGGAGGAGAAAGATAGCAGAAAAAAATCTTACAGGAGGTGGCACTTACACAGACATAGGAAAAAGAAAACATTTTGAGAACAGAGTGTGGGGCGGACGTGTAGAGAGAAACAGGCAGATGGACAGCTTTGCAAAGATGCACTCAGGAAACTACATGTTGAGTGTTCCTGGAATATGGACAGAGGGCAACAGCATGTGGGAGGGGAGAAGGCAAGATCAGTTGTGATCAGCCTTGTGGGATTTCATCCTGAAGGATAGGAAGTCCCTGTAAAAAGTTTTAAGTGGAAAAGTAACAGTATGATTAGCTGGGAAGGTTGAAAGATGAAAGGCCGGGATATCAGTGAAAAGGCTCAAAGTAGTCCAAACAAGCAACACTGAGAGTCTGAGCTAAAATAGTGGGAATGGGAATGGAGAAGGGAGAAACCAAGAGGGTCTTTCAGGGAAATAATTCATAAGACTTGTTGCCCATCCTGATGTAGCTGCAGACCCACTCCAGAATTCTGGCTTTAGTGATGGAATATAAAAGTTGGTTGGGGGAAATTAATGAGCACTACTGACGCCTACTTACTTGATCTGGAAAGGTGTTAAGTATGTGACAAGTCACTGACATTTCTCCCGATACCACCTGTTCTCCCAACTTCATTCCACTCTCTACCCTCATACTCCTCACACCCACAAGTGACCATTACAGCTCAGCTGATTCCTTCCCAATTCTCAGAATGTCATTTCCAAACCTCTTTCCTACCCCCAGCACTCCTGACACAATGAACACTTCAAAGTGTCTGGGTAACAGGTAACTGTCAACCTCCTATTCAACTTGTTTTGCACCCCTAGCCTTCAAATGCTGAATCTTATAAGATTTCCCATCCACCATGGGTATAAAAGAAATAGCTGCATGACTTACTCTCACTTTGTTCAAAAGAAAACTAATGCCTAAGTAACAAGTATTTTCAAGAGTGTAATTTTGAGCTAGAATGCCCTGCAAGTTAAGAATACATTTGTCCACTAGGGGTCACCAGATGCCTAATGATTCCATTGTTCAAGGGTTGTCTCCCCATACTCTCAATGCACACAATGCCTTCTGAGTTTAATTTAACCTACTCCTAATACCTGGCTAGGTCCCCACAATTCTATTCCCCCAAATTCAACTCCACTGCAGCCTTCCCATCTCACCTCATGGCAGGCCCACCTTACAGATCCTCAGCCCAAAACTAACGCAGCGATCTTCGACTTCTCTCACAAACTCCACATTGAATCTCTCAGGAAATCCTGATTCCAACTTCAAAGCCTATTCAGAATCTGACCATTTCTCTCTCACTCTTTGTACTCTGCACTATCTTGCCAGGAAACTGCAAACCCTCCCTGCTTCTGCTCCCTTACAACATGGCAGCCAAGCGAGCCTTATAAAATGTAAGTCAGAACACATCACTGCTCTTGCTCACACCCCTGTGATGGTACTTTCATTCAGAGTAAAATCAAAGGTCTCCAGAGTGGCCTGCAAGGTCTCATGAGATCAGATGCACTTTGATGTCCCCAACCTCACTCCACCCATTCTTCTGTTTGCTCACTTCTCTTCCTCTCCTGACCTCACCATCCCTCCAACATACCTACATATCCCCCACCTGGTGCCTTTGCACTGGCCTTCCCCTGTCTCAAACTCTTCTTCCAGACATCTGCATGGCTCATTCCCTCACTTCCTTCAAGTCTCTGGTCAAATGTCACCTCAGTGAGTCCCATCCTGATCACCCAACTGAATATTAAAACCCACCCCTCCACTTTCACACTCCCATTCCCTATTACTTTTTTTTTTTTTTTCTTTTCCAAGGCACATATAACTTCACATATTGGAAAGTTTACTTATATGTTATGTTACTATTATAGTCCACCTCTCCCAAACTAGAGCATTTGGTCCATGAAGCAGAAATCTTGGTCTGTTTTATTCACTATTGTATTCTAAGCTGAACATCTGTTAAATGGATTTATTGCTCAATTCCACTGTCCCCCTCCTCACTGGCTCTTCTCTAATAATAGTGAAAACCTCCAAGTCTTTACACTGGATATTTACCATTTGTCCCTCTGGATCTGTTCTCCAACCTCCAGCCTGCTCTGGACCTCAGATGGCTGCCCTGTAGACTAAATTGAGGGGTCCCCTTGCCTTCTGGCTTCTGATTGGGTTCAGCCACTCTGACTGGGTTCACCCAGGGGGAGGCACCATCAAGAGGATGTGGGTGAGGGAAAAATGTTGGGATTTATATTCCTCTGACTCTCTCCCTGAGAAGTTACAGCCCATTGAATAACCCCCTCCATAAAGCTTTCTTCCAGGTCCTACTAACAGCTCCCTCCTTTCACTCCTTCAGACCTGGGGCTGGTAACAGCACCCCTCCATTACAACAAACTCCAGGGTTCTTTATTACTCATGATTTCCCTCAGCCCTGACCATTCCACTGAAAAGGCTCCCTTTGGTAAACTCCTCAACTAATCAGAAAATTCAATTACATTTGATATCCTCTGGAAACCAGACTAATAAAGTTATAATGAAATAATTCATGAAGGTGGATATGATCCATTTTACTTTCTGTAGTTTTAAATATCTGAAACTCCTATAGGCCCATAGTAAAGCCAGAATACAGTTAGTCATTGATTGACTTAGGAATTTTTCTAACTACTCTCTTCTGGATCTCTTTGGCTTTTCAACCCATTACCCATTTTAAGTTGGCTCTATTTGGAGATTACATGCCTTTATTCATTTATTTTAGCTCTGAGAATCATAGTTTATATGGGCTTTGCTTTGTTATTAGACTAGTATCCTGGCATAGCAATCAAGCAGTAAGACGCCAGCCCCAGGTGCACTACCTGACCAGTTCTTCGGGTCTTGAAAATGCTGTCAGCTTACAACGAGAGTGTTTCTTGCCACATAATTTACAACTCAAATTTGGCAAGTGTATATCTTACCTATTATCAGACATTGATGATAGAAAATGAGTAAGACAAGTCTCTTACCTATAAAGGCTTACAAGACAAAGAAAAATAGATGTGATCTTTTGCAAATGGGGAACATATCATTTCTAATAGAGACATGAATATTAAAACATCTTATAGCTCTTTAACACTAAAGACAATGCTGATAAGACCTTCAAAAAGATTGTTGCTTTCCTTTAGTAGCCAACATATTTTAGCATACTAAGGAGAGATGTGATCTTTTTCCCGCATCACAACAAACCTGGGTTTCAAACATTTTGGTGACTAGAAAAAGTCTAAGGCCAAGAATTCATTAATGAGACACATTATTATAAAGCAAAAAGATACTGTATCGGAAACAATGTTCTGGAAATATTTTCATGTTCTGAATCTAAAATTTAATTTGCTGATTTTCTGAAATCTCATTAACTGGCAATTCTTGTCAGAATAAAATAAATAAAAATAAAGTTGCGATCACTTACCAAGTTGTATTTCTTTTGTTTACTTTTCATTTTAGACATACTTAAATCTGGATAATTATATTTAATATATCAAGAGTACCAAAAAGAAAATGCTGCATTTAAATACAAGGCTAATTTATGACATACAGTAATTTCCCCCCTGCCCAAACTGCAGTTTCACTTTCTGTGGTTTCAATTACCCAGTCACCTGCAGTCCACAAATATTAAATGGAAAATTCCAGACATATAAAATTCGTAAGTTTTAAGTTGTGCACCATTCTGAGTAACATGATGAACCATCATCATCCTACTCCATCCTGCCCGGGATGTGAATCCTCCCTTTGTCCAGCATATCTATACTGTATATACTATACTCCTGTTCTTCACTTAATAGCCATGATGGTGATCAGATAGATTGTTGCAGTATTTGCTGTGCTTATGTTCAAGCAGTCCTTATTTTACTTAATAACGGCCCCAAAGCACAAGAGTAGTAGTGCTGGTAACTTGGATATGCCAAAAAGAAGCCATAAAGTGCTTCCTTTAAGTGAAAGATCCAAGTAAGAATTAATCTTTTATCTATTAAATTTCAAAGAAAGAGAAAAATATGTGCTAGTTTTGCTGTCGTATCTCAAACTGCAAAAGTTATAGCAACAGAGCATAATAAAAGCTTAGTTAAGATGGAAAAGACATTAAATTTGTGAGTGGAAGACAAATAGAAATACATTCCCATTGACAGCAATTGGGTTGAGTATTAGTCATGATTTCAGAACACATCCCCCTCGAATAAGGGAGGACTACTGCAGTCACATGAGACAAATGAAATCTTTCATGAGCTGAGCACAGAAGTTCAAGTATACATCCCAGGAATTAGTTAGCCCTTCCCAAACAAAATAACTAAATCCTAGGGAATTCCCATAATCAGCTCATGGCCTACATCTGACTATTAACTCCTTCAGAGCTGCAGCTTCCTCAATAAAGAACAAGGGCACAGCAGAGGGGTCACTGCTTTATCTCAAGGTTCAAAGTCATTGGTACAGAACCAGACATTTTAGAGTGATAGACTGACCATTGGGCTCTCAAAAAACTATTATAGCTGACTAGTACAGCAATATATATATATATATACACACACACACACACACACACACGCAAGTAATTATAAGTGTAGGTACACATGTATAATCAGATTTCTTAGCCTTTGACAAAACAGCATCTATTCTGCATCAAGAATTTTATATTGATCTGCAGTATCCCTTATAAGCATAAAGCTATCTGGAAAACTGAAAGTGCTGATAATCAAAAGTATGTATAATCAAGTCAAATTAAAGGGCATAAAATATGTTTAAGAGTTATCAAGTTGTCATAAACAAGTTACTTCTCTATTTTCAGCTGATCTGAAAAGTCAGTTAAACAAGGGACAGATGATTTCTACAATCCCATTCCCCTCCAACACACAGTAACTCTGAGACTCAGACTTACAGGGTCAGGAAAGTAGGGAATACAAAACTACTGTAAATAAACGAGATTGGTAATGTAATATATATATCAAAGATAAGTAAAATTCAGCATACAAAGAAAGGCTAAAAGTCTCTAAAGGAACTTGAAAAGGGGCAAGATCAATAAAGACTAGAAAAGTTTCTGTAATTGGATAAGGATACTTTGAGGATATATAACTTAAGTCTAATTTTGAGAGATGTGGATAGACAGGAAAGAGGAGAGACAATCTTCCAGATGGAAATAGACCCAGAAAAGGAAAAATGGGCACAAAAATAGCATCAGTTTTATTTCCTAAATAACCTACACTATTTATTCTAAACTGCTTTTGTAATCGGCTGAAAGGCCAATTGGGTGATTAAAAATGTAAAATCCTTGAAGTCTTTAATTGTTGAGAGCTGATGACTTACCATTTTATAAAAATAAAAATATAGCTTTTCCTAACATAGCTAAATGTACCTTAATGTGCATGCCATTATTAAAATGATGGCTTATTTCTGACCAACATAATATGCAACCCTATTATCTTAAGCGCTGGCTGCATATCCACCTTCCAAGACCAGCCATGTTTTTATGATTAATGGTATCCTTTTATGTATGATCTAGAATGATGGCATTGCTAAAAGAAAGGGCTTTAAACAGGGCAAATTGATGCCCACCTTGCTTTATAAATGATCTAACAAATAACATAAAACAATACCTTTAAATTTTAAAATGCAAGACTTAATTTGAAGACATATATTCTAACTTCAATATATTTTAAGTTTAGAAAAATAAAAGCACATCACATTGAGATATAAAGTCTTAATTTATATCTTTATACTAGATGAAGCAAGTCTGCTTTACTTATGAAGGATGGTACCAAAAACATTTGGATAAATGTAACCCTCTTGACCTTGTTAAACACTAGATTTTGATGCTCATGTGAGTAGGAGAAAACTTCAGTTCACTGATAAACTCGCTTAAACATTGAGAATTGGCATTTCTCTCCAGCCAATTGTTTTTAAAATGTACACTTACCCTGCGTTGTTGCTGACTGCAGTTAGTCCTTTTACTCCAGTTTTCAGTAAAGCATCTATAAGATTCTCTGGAATTCCACATAGCCCAAAACCTATATTAAGCCGAAAAAATAAACAATTTGTAAAAGGGGTAATAAAGTTCTTTCAGAGAAGTGTGTGTTATTCTTTTTAAGAGGGAAATTAAACAAAGCACATTATTAGATCTACTAAGCAAAATATACATATATATCTCAGCAGCTTAATAAACGGTCATATAACTGTATCCAAATGTTTTGCACCATTATATCACATATCACTGCCCAGTCTTTGAACCACAAGTATAACACCAAGTGCAACCAGTTTATATAGCTACACATTGCCCAGCTTGCACTTAACTATATATCTATTGTTGTCCTGCTTTATAAATCAGTTTTTCTATAACTTTTTTAAGAATGTTTACATGTCTGAGTAGATTTTGCACAGTTGGAAGCCTAAGCCCAAAATGGTCATTTCTTTATATTTTCCATGATTATGCAAATTGTTTTGGGTTTAAAATAAACATTCAATGACTTACTTGGATGAGCAGGGATCAATCCTAAAAATAATCCTTGATATTATTTATCAGAAGCAGGCAGCAAGTTGGGTGCAGGTGGCTCATGCCTGTAATCCCAGCACTTTGGGAGGCCGAGGTGGGCGGATCACTAGAGATCAGGAGTTCGAGACCAGACTTGCCAACACAGTGAAACCCCATCTCTACTAAAAATACGAAATTTAGCCAAGAGTGATGGCAGGTGCCTATAATCCCAGCTACTTGGGAGGCTAAGGCAAGAATCTCTTGAACCCAAGAGATAGAGGCTGCAGTAAACTGAGATTGCACCACTGCACTCCAGCCTGGGCGACAAAGTGAGACTCCCTCTTGAGATTCCAAACAAGCAGCAGCAATAGAATTGGCAGTGGGGGAGGTCAATACAGATGTCTATGTCTACAGGGTCTCTGAAGGTGTAAGCTTATGAGATTAATGTCAACTTTTTAAGTAAAAAATTGGGTTCTAGGGATTTTTTTCAAAGCTATTAATAAAACATGACTACTTTGAAGCTTCAGTTTTTCAAAACAGAAACACACAAATACACACACACACACAGAAAGTAAAATATTGAATGCTAAACCTTGCTAAACTTTTAGGAAGAAGACACTAATAAAACAGATGATACTATAATATATAAAATAAATAATGTATAATATAATAATTATTTTTATACATCTTTGTCATTGTGATTTGCTGGTTTCATTTAAAAACATAAGGACATTACCGTAATGTGAAAAACAGTATTAGTACTCACCACCAACCAAAACCGTTGCACCATCAGGGATGTCTTTTACAGCTTCTACTGGATCTGTATAAAACTTGGTATGGCGATGAGCACTGGTGGAAAAGGAACAAACACATCCCTGAAATATCAAAAAAAAAAAAATTGATAATCATTTAGAGATACAGCTTTGTGTGCGTAGCAATTTATTCAATTGACAGACAAATGATAATTTCATTATCCCCTTTATATATACATGTTTTTAATTTCCAAGTAATAATTGTATATAATGTATATATTTATACAGGTAATAAATGTATATATTTATGGCACACATGGTTGTTTTTATATGTATAGTAGACCCCCCTTATCCACAGTTTCCCTTTCTGAGGTCTGTCACCCCAGGTAAGTATGGTACAATAAGATTTGGGAGAGAGAATGCATTCTTATAACTTTTATTACAATATATTGTTATAATTGTTCTATTATTAGTTATTGTGACTAATGTCTTGTAGTCTAATTTGTAAATTAAAATGAATGACAGACATATGTAGGAAAAACAACTTATATAGGGTTTGATACTACCCACAGGTCAGGTATCCACTAGGGTTTTGGAACATATTCTCCTCAGATAAGGGAGGATACTAATGGCTCAATCAAGCTATTTATAAATGCACACTTTTTTGTGGTAAAAATCTCTAAGCAATTTTCTAGTATACAATATATTATTAACTATAGTCACCGTGGTGTTCAACAGATCTCTTGAATTTATTCCTCCTAAATAAAATTATGTATCCTTTGACCAACATCTCACCAACTCCTCACCTCCAGCCTCCATAACCACCATTTCACTTTTCTGTCTGTGATACTATCCCCCTCTTTAAAAGCCTGGAGCTTTAAGTGACTCATACTTAAAAGTAGGATGGATATTTTATCCACAGATTATCACTGAAGTCCCCTTGTAACAGATGTCTTCTATTATATAAGGGAAAGTTCTAATTCCATCCTTTGTGGTCACCCCAAAGAATGAAAGTAGAAAGAAAAGTCTGTAGGGTCCAGCCCCACAGGGTCAGTGGGTTTTTCTCCCCGTGTGCGGAGACGAGAGATTGTAGGAATAAAGACAAAGACAAAGAGATAAAAGAAAAGACAGCTGGGCCTGGGGGACCACTACCACCAAGACGCGGAGACCGGTAGTGGCCCCGAATGCCAGGCTGCGCTGATATTTATTGGATACAAGACAAAGTGGCAGGGTAAGGAGTGAGAGCCATCTCCAATGATAGGTAAAGTCACATGGGTCACGTGTCCACTAGACATGGGGCCCTTCCCTGCCTGGCAGCCGAGGCAGAGAGAAAGAGAGGAGAGAGAGAGAGAAAGCTTACAGCATTATTTCTGCATATCAGAGACTTTTAGTACTTTCACTAATTTGCTACTGTTATTTAAAAGGCACGGCCAGTGTACAGGATGGAACATGAAGGCGGACTAGGAGCCTGACTATTGAAACACAGCATCACAGGGAGATGGTTAGGCCTCTGGAAAACTGTGTGTGGGCCTGACTCCACAAGAGGTGGAGGAGTAGAGTCTTCTCTGAACTCCTATGAGGAAAGGGAGTCTCCTTTTCCTGGTCTGCTAAGTAGCAGGTGTTTTTCCTTGACACTGACGCTACCGCTAGACCACGGTCCACTTGGCAACGGGTGTCTTCCCAGACGCTGGCGTTACCGCTAAACCAAGGAGCCCTCTGGTGGACCTGTCCAGGCATAACAGAAGGCTCACACTCTTGTCTTCTGGTCACTTCTCACTATGTCCCCTCAGTTCCTATCTCTGTATGGCCTGGCTTTTCCTAAGTTATAATTGTAGAGCAAGGATTATTATAATATTGGAGTAAAGAGTAATTGCTACAAACTAATGATTAAATGATATTCATACATAATCATATCTATTATCTATATCTAGAATAACTATTCTTATTTTATATATTTTATTATACTAGAACAGTTTGTGCCCTCGATCTCTTGCCTCGGCACCTGGGTGCCTTGCCGCCCGCAAAAGTCCATATACTGGAATTCAAATTCATAGCAATGGTGTCATCAAGCATCAGTTTCTGGTAACCCAATCTTCAATTAATAAATAAGTATTTACTGTAAACCTACCATGTGTCAAGTCCTGTACTATTTGTTCCAACATAGTTAAGTATTAAGACACGAGCACTGCTCTCTAAAAAATTAAAGCCAATGTGAACAAAACACATACCTACAGAGTTGGGCTCCAGGTTCAATCTTAAATGTCAAAGAATGCCTCCTAAAGGGACAAGAACACCTTACAAAACAACTCATCCTCCTACGGGGCTTAAGGTTTATGGAGCCTACATAAAAGGAACAAACCATTATCTACAAGGAAGGTAAGTCTAGCCTTACCAGTGTACTATTGGGTCCCAAATGAGTCACCTAGTGAATATTCATGAGCAATCAGTTGTAAACGTTTCCCTTTCCCCTACTTCATCCACACTATGCACAAAAGGAAACAAGAAAGCAGATTCTGTAGCAATCATTCATACGCAATATCACCTTTCCTTTATTCCCATTACACAGTCAGCCTAAAAAGAAAGAATAACATCTGAATCTTGGTATACTGCCACCTTAACATGCCAATTGTGAGCTCACATCCACTGCCTAACAGTCTCCCAGACAGGCACAACAACTGAAGAAGTCAAAGTGACAGCATAAATGTCTATCATTCTTTTCTTCCTCTAAAAATAAGTGAGCAGGCCGGGCGCGGTGGCTCACGCCTATAATCCCAGCACTTTGGGAGGCTGAGGCGGGCGGATCACGAGGTCAGGAGATCGAGACCATCCTGGCTAACACGGTGAAACCCCGTCTCTACTAAAAATGCAAAAAATTAGCCGGGCGAGGTGGCGGGCGCCTGTAGTCCCGGCTACCCGGGAGGCTGAGGCAGGAGAATGGCGTGAACCCGGGAGGCGGAGCTTGCAGTGAGCCGAGATCGCGCCACTGCACTCCAGCCTGGGCGACTGAGCCAGACTCCGTCTCAAAAAAAATAAAATAAAATAAAATAAAATAAAATAAAATAAAATAAAAATAAAAATAAGTGAGCACACTGCCCAAACCCTGAGAAATAAGTCTAGGCAGAGATAGAAAGGGCTTGAGCCACAAAGAGTTTTCCCTCTTTCCTATCCTCAAGTAGCAAGTATTCATCTGCTTCTATTTTAAACATACATTTTTTTAATATATTGAAAATGATAAGTGTGACAGCCTAAATAAACAGGCCAACAGAAGGATCGCAAGATAAAGTTGAGGATATCTCCTAGAGACACTTAAAACGACAGGTCAAGTTTTTGAAGCTTAGAAGGATCTTGTAATTTACCCAAAACTGTGTTAAAGCAAGACCAGATCCAAGATTTTGTTTGGCCTTCTACCTCAGGATCTTTCTACTGCAGTATGCTTCTCTCCAAGTTTTTTGAAACCTCTCATACTCTACTTCTCGTTTATTGATATACAACAAATCTTTGTGAGTGTTCTATTTCTTCCTGTATAACTCTGCTGTCATTATCTCCACCCAGAAGTGAAGAGTCAGGCCCTTATAGCTAGAAGCGGAAGAAAATTAAAGAGTTTATCCACAGCTCAACAGTCTGTGCAGTAAGATCACCCTAACTATTTCAATATGCTGAGAAACACAAATCCCACATACAGAGGAAGTTGGAAGAAAACTCATTTCCCCTATACACCTATACAGGCTTTTTAGATTCAGGTATCCATTCCCTCAAGCATTTACCCTTTGAGTTACAATCCAAATACACTTGAAGTGATTTTTAAACGTACAATGAAGTTGTTATTGACTATAGTCTCACCCTATTGTGCTATCAAACAGTAGGTCTCATTCATTCTATTTTTTGGTACCCATTAACCATCACCACCTCTCCCCTGCCCACACATAAAAACATATAACCATAGGCTTATCAAGAATTCTATTCTTTTGTTTCATCTGATAGTTTTCATTACAGTTAGAAATTACCAAAGAGCTTGCCACACTCCCTGAAAAAAAAAAAAAAAAAAAAAAAAAAACCTCAAAAGTATTTTAGAGAAGGTATGTTTAGCCAGATAATCAAAAGTTAAAAGCATAAAGTGAAGATGTTTCCCAGGTAATCTGAGAAAGGCTCAAGACAATGAAGAACTTGCAGGTGCTCAAGTTTGTTTTTTTCATTATTCATATATTCAGTTAACAGTATTTGTTGACATTTGATATCAATTTACTAAAGAGTCAACTTGTACGACAACAGATTCTATCCTAAGAAACCCTAACATCTAGTTTAGGAGACAGTATGGCATGAAAGATCATGCTCTTGGGATCAAAAATACCCTTGCTTCAAATTCCAATTCTGCCACAGTTACATGAACCTAGGAAAATTACTTAACCACTGCATCTCTTTTTCAAGGGGGGAGAGGGTATTTTAAGTTTACAAAAAGATGATAATTGTTTTCTAGGAATGTAGTAAGGATCAAATGATGTTATATACAGAAACCCTGTGCCAGGACTATAGAAGATACCCAGGGGATACTAGCTTCCTTTGGAAAATGCAAGCTTTTCTTCATTCTCCACTAGGGCAGTAAGATCAACTTGTCATTCATTGGAGTTTAGTTTTAATTTTAATTGTGTATATATTTATGTAGGCAATAAATGTATATATTTATGGCATACATGGTGTTTTTATATGTACAGTAGACCTCCCCTTGCCCACAGTTTCCCTTTCTAAGGTTATATATGTATAAAACATATTCTGATGTTATATACAGAAGCCCTGTGCCTGGACTATAGAAGACACTCAGGGGATGTTAGCTTCCTTTGGAAAACGCAAACTTTCCTTCATTCTCTACCAGGGCAGTGAAACCAACTTGTCATTTATTGGAGTTTAGTTTTAATTTTTAACCACCTCACTCTACCATATATATACACGCCACTGATTTTACAAAGAATGTTTTTAAACACAATTCTTACTGTAGCAAATTAACCCAGGTGATCTTTGTTGAAAGTTTTCAAAAAAACACGGGTCTTAGCTTTAAGATTACTTTAACATGAGGTGATATTTATTTTGTCACCTTATGGGTTAAATAAATGACAAGGAACAGCTGATATCATCCAAGTCAGTATCAGAGTTTGAGAAACAAAAGTGGAGAGAAGTTATATGGAGAGAAGTCAAGAGATACACGTCGTAAGGAAAAGGCAGTAATATGTGAGTGAATGCACTCACAGACCTGCAGAGCATGGCAACACTGCCAAGAGGTGGTGATGTGTGTGAAAACACTTTAGCTGTCCAGAAGTGAACCAGTGTCTACCAAAGGTGGAATGTTCACCTTCAGCTAAACACTGCCAATTATGCACATGTAACAAGAATAAATCTCAAGGAGCTCACACGGAGTTACAACACTAAGCAATTCTCTACAGCAGTGGTGTGCATTGTTATCCAATGCTGGAGGGGTACTCAGTGCTCCAAAGGAGCACAGATGAAGGAGTAATTCATTCTACCTGGTGGACTAGAAAACCAGAGTTTGCCAGGTGTTAAATACTTGTCAGGACAGTGATTCCAAACAAGGGAGCCACATAAGTAAGAGTTCAACGATATGAAAAGGCTCTATGTACTCACAGACACGCGGGATCAGGTCTTATGGAGAGAGGTTCATGAAGATCAGGCTGGAGAAGCAGATTGAGGCAGTTTGTAAAAAGTCTTAAAGACTACACTGCAGAGTTTCTTTTTCCTTTTCTTTTTATTTTTTTAATTTCCATAGATTTTTGGGGAACAGGTAGTACTTGATTACATGAGTAAGTTCTTTAGTGGTGATTTGTGACTTGATCGTTCAATGAGGAAGGGACAGCAAAGCTTTTGAAACAGATGTCATAACTCAAAGGAAGCCTGAATTAAGAAAGTGGTATGGAAACTCATTATTTCTTTCCTTCACCCATTTGTACCAACTATACAAAATACTGGGGCTACAAAGTTAAAATAAATATTAAAAATAAAACACAGACATAGTCCCTGCTAGGATGAAACTTACAAACTAGCAAAGACAGTAGTCATTAAATAATTACAAAATTTTAAACACAATCATAGTATTTACTTGCGGAGCTATAAGGAAGAAACAGTTGCTGAGAAAGAATGCCAGGGACAGCACTGAGGAACATTTCAGAAAGAGGCACATATGACACTTGGTGATCAACTGGAAGTGCAGCAAGGAGAAGAGAAGATGGTTCCAGGATTGCCAGCTTATATACTGGATGGATACTGGTGCTGTCAAACACAGTGAAAGAAGAACAAAACAAGGAATGGGAAAGCCACTTTATGGCTGGTTTGTTTTGGATCAGAAAGAGCTTTAAGCACCAAATGACATCCAAGTGAAGTTCACCAGTTGCACCAGAAGGACTGCAGCTCAGGATAGTCTGAGCTTGGAAAGAGATTTTGGAAAAGACAGTGTCAAGGATGAATGGTGGGTAAAGTGTTAGTGGTACTCTTATAATCTTTTTCCCACTAATAATTTTCTATCGTGAAAATAGTATTAAATGCTCCCCACTGCCCTGCAGTAATAATGAAGAAAAGAAGATACCTTCCAACAGTCTATTCTCACCTAAGTCCATGCCAGATAACTCTGAAAGGGGCAGTCAGTCCCCAGACCAGCAGCATCAACATCATCTGGAACTTATCAATGCAAAGTTTAGGGCCCCACCCAGGACCTACTAAATTAGAAATTCTGGGGCTGGGTACAGCAGTCTGTTTTAGAAAACCTCCAGGTAATGCTGATGCACTCTCAGGTGTGAGAGACACTGGGCTTGCCCATCATAAAAATTGTACACATTTAAGAAAATAACTATCTCATTTTAGCTGTTAGTTCTGTTTAGTGGAAAAACTCAAGGTTTCTGTTTGCCTGCAGGGTTCTCTCATCCGTATGTTAAACATGTGTAGAATATCTCATCTATGCAGAGTAGTGTGTTTGTTGAGGGAGACTGAGTGTAAGGCATAAAAATGGTCTCTGCCATCAGGGAACTGTCATCTGGTTGAGGAGACAATATACACATCTGAAAAGTTCAACAAGCAGATAAGTGGTACAGTTCAACAGAAGCAGCAGGTGAGGATTTAAAGTGCTAAACAATAAGGGCACTAAGAGTCACAACCTAGGGGAACAGTGGGAGGCAGGAGTCAGACCTATGATAATTAAGCCTGACAGGGGTAAGTTTGAACTCTGTATGAACTTTTAATGAGATACAACAGAACCCCTTATTTGCATCTCCTCCCTCTAAGAAGAGGTTTGCTGAGCTTCGGAAATGGTTTAATGATATACTCAAAGTGGAAAAGACTCGAAGTGAGTAAATTACAGTTGGGCAAATAACTGTCAAAAAGAAGGAACGTTCTTGACCTCGGCCCAAGGGTATCGCTGTGCTCTGGTTTGCACTAGCTTCAGCACCACTGCAGGCTCACTGAAGGTCAAGTTCCCTTTTAATAATGCTTTATATATCCCAGTCTACCTGCAGTTATCAAAATGCTTCCTAAGAGGCATTTAAGAGTAAAATAGTCCAGTTCGGAATCATTCCCTAGCACCTACCGAAGGAGCTCAGTGGCTCCTCTGTGTTCTCAGCGGTCAGGGATTGGATGCAGGAAAGAAGAGTAATGGGGGCTAGCAGGCACGCTTCAGGAGTAAGCACCGTGTGCATGGCACGCTGTTAAGCTCAGATCTATTATTGAATACCAAGGAAGAGGCTCCCGCGATTGAGACAGCTGGGATAAAGCCACCCTCCTGGACCTGGCGCTCCGGTCCTGCAATTCGCTCCTAGGGCTCCAGACAAGGGTGGGCTTACAAGCGAGGACAGTGCATAGGGCAAAACCACAAGTCAGTCCACGGTGGGAATGCCTCCGGATACCACTGGGTGGAGAGTTGGCAGTGGGTCACAAAAAGGATTTCAAAGGGCTCTGAAAACCGAAAGCCCCTAACCCGGATACGAGGGGCCTCGAGAGAAAGGTTCGTCCGCCCCTGCAGACCAGACGCGAGCCAGGGACACACCTCGGATGGTTTCCCAGCTTGGCCGGCAGGACGCTCTGGCGAGCGTTCCAGTCTGCCGGGCAGCAGAGCCAAACAGGGGAGGAGAGGATGGGAGCTGCATTCCACACCCGCCGCACCCGGCATCCAGCCCCGGTGAACTCGAGCAGAGCCATGGCGAACCCGGCCTCAGATTCTGGGCCTCTAGGGGTTCCTCTGCCCAGAGATCCCACATCGGGGGCGCGAACCTACCCGCTGTTGCCTCACTCCTTCACCTCCATACACTGGCGCCCTCCTCCCCCAGTTCAGACCCTCAGAGTCCCTTTCCAAGGGCGGGTGCCAGGAGGGACGCCGGCGACCGCCAGGGAGCTCGAGAGCGCTGCCAGGAGTCCTCCCGCCCCTTCTCAGCCTCTCCGCGCGCTTCCTAAAGCTTCTCGCTCCATCAGGGAAGCGACTGCAGAACCAAGCAAAGGCGGTCATCCAAGGGGCCGGCGAGGCCAAGAACGCGTCGCCGCGTGTCCGTGACGAGGGCACCGCGCCACGGATGCCAGATCCCAGGCTGGAGAGAGCGGGCAGGGGCAGAGGAGAAAACGCGGGCACCGGCAGAGGAGAAAACGCGGGCACCACTCAGGGTTTGGTCCACGTCCTTCCTGCCCGTGGCCTTCCTTTTCCCCCGCACTTTACCTTGTACCAGGCTCCTCTAGATCCGCAGGCAGAGGCGCAGAGCCGAAGCCCGGAGGAGAGGAGTTTGAGAGCCGCCATCTTCGGGCCGTGAGGCAGGAGGAGGCTACCGGGTGGAGCGCGCGTTTGGGTGTAGGTGCGCGCTGTCCCGGGCGCCGCCGAGTCACTGCGAAGGAAAGCGGGGCGTGCTGGGGCCTCCACAGCGCAGCTCTGACGTCCTCCCGGCCTTTCGAGCCGCACGCCGCTGGCGCGCTGCTGGCTGCTGCTTTTAAAAGAAGTGAGGCTGGGCGGGGCCCCGGCGGGGAGAAGAGGCTCTGCGCAGCCTGAGCGGATCGCTGGGAAGTTCCTCTCAGAGCCTCAGGTGTCTGGGCGTATGCGAGACCCGGCGTGTGTTGGCGCGCACTTGCCGCTGCAGCCCTTCTGTCAGCCCTTTAGCTTAGATGGGGTGCTGGTGGCCGCCTCCCCCTAGGTTGTGGATGAGTCTTGGCCTAGGGTTCAGGGCCCTCCGGCCGCGGGAGGACCTCCCGCCAAGCTTGTTGCTTTTCCAAGTGAGTGCTTCGTGTGTGTGTGGGCTGCATAGGGGCACCCCTCGAACCCCGCTTCTTTTCTCCCGCCTGGACTGCGTTCACGTTTCTAACATTTCTCAGCCCCTTCTCCCCAAACCTGGCCTTGGCTTACGTAGAGTAAGTTTGCTGCGAGGACCTGCCTCGAGCTGTCGGTCAAGAGGTGTGAGCAACAAGGCTTGCAGAGGAACGAGATTAAGACTGAACCTCTGTGACCTGACTTTAGCACACCTTTGCTTCCCCATCATCCAAGTTTGCAAATTTTAGGCTCTTTCTCGCACTGGAGTCCGAGCAACCCAGAGATTTACTAAGGAGATGCAACCATAAAGGTAGCATATTGCTTTAACCTTAGGCAAGTTAGATAACTTCCCTAAGCCTCAGTGTCCTCATCTGCAAATTAAGATTGCTTATAATACAACGTCGTAACGTTTCTATGAGTTAATTCATGCAAAGTTTCTGGCCGTATTATGAGGAGTCAATAAATGTTAGCATTATTTTAAGTTTATTCCATTGTAGCAGTTCATTGACATGGCACGTACATATTCTGCAACCCTTGTCTTTTGACCAACTCCTTGAGGACATGAGCTAAGACTGATTTCTCCAGAACTGTCTTTGCACTTAGCGGAGTGGAAAGACCAAGTGGAAGCTCAATAACATTTCATTTGATTAAGGCCTGACCAAGTTCTGAGAATGTGATGTTAGTTTTGAACCAAAGCAAAGCACACAAAAATTAAATGAGATCTTAGCTTCCTTAGCAAATACAGTAAGGTAATGAACAGTGAAGATCCAGTTCAAAGTTTGTCCATAAAAGCATTTGCCCTTGCATGGTATTCTTTTAACTCTGAACTTTTTTTCCCTGTAAATGTTATAATTTTAGGCAAAATCTGGTAAGGACTAAAATACCAAGTTAGACTATTCAATTACATTGGAGAAACTAACTTAGTAATGGTTGGTATTTCAACACATTTTAAGAAGTTGGATTGACGGGAAATTCAAGTACTGTAACTAAAGTCCCACAACTAGTGATAATTTAGCATATAGCAGCTGTTGTACCTTTAACTTACACAATGTGAAAAAAAACTAGCATTCCAATTGAGTCTACTTTTCCACTTTTGCCCATTCCAATTGGGTCTACTTTTCCACTTTTGCACTTCCACAGGGCACATGAAATGGAAAAACTGCATTGGCAACTTTGCCGGTGGTCATATGACTGACTCTTGGCTGGTCTCACTTTGTTGCTCTTGGCTGAGGAAGACACATTTAAAATGTTGCATGTTATGTGACTAAGTCTTCTGAGAAAATCAGCCTCATTACTGTATGGTCAAAACACACTGTACTGTATTTTTGATGACTATGACTTCATTTTATACTTTTTAAATAATGTGTAAGTCTCCTTGACTTGAATAAATTGGATTACAAATTACAAAAAAGTTCTTATATGCTGATTTGCCTTCTAGTTACACAAAGGCACTTCAATTTTAATTGATGTGCAAAATTTTACTTCTTTTAAATATCTGAACTTTTCTAAACTAGTAAGGATATTTCCTACTTGCTCTGAAAGGCAGTTTCTGGCAAATATGTTATATTCTGGAAACTTTTCTTTGTGGAATCTTACAGTTTAGCTTCCACACTTTTAAAAACTGGGAAAATTGTATTCAAAGCCTTTAAACAAAAGGTCTGATTCCAGTCATGCAATGACGAAAGTTTTTTTTGTTTTGTTTTGTTTGTATTATGGGTTTTTTTTTTTGTATTATATTATGATACATATGTGTATGTGTGGGTGTGGGTGTGGGTGTACATACACAGAGTCATATGCCACATAACATTTTGGTCAGTAATGGACAGCATATATGATGGTGGTCCCATAAGATTATAATAACATATTTTACTGTAGCTTTTTTATGTTTAGAAATGTTTAGCCAGGTGCAGTGGCCCACGCCTGTAATCCCAGCACTTTGGATGGCCAAGGCAAATGGATCGCTTGAGCCCAGGAGTTCGAGACCAACCCAGGCAACATGGCGAAACCCCATCTCTACAAAAACAAAGAAAAAAAAAGTAGCCAGTGTGGTGGAGGGCACCCATAGCCAGCTACTGGGGTGGGGTGTGGGGTGGGCAGTGGGGACTGAGTCAGGAGGATTGCTTGAGCCTGGGAAGCAGAGGTTGCAGTGAGCCGAGATCGCTCCTTTGCACACCAGTGCAAGACCCTGTCTCTAAAAAAAAGAAAAGAAAATTTTAAATACACAAATAATTACCATTATGTTACAATTGCCTACTAAATATTGTGCAGTAACATGCTGCACAAGTTTGTAGTCTAGGAGCATAAGCCATACCATATAGCCTAGGTATGTAGTAGGTTAGACCATCCAAGTTTATGTCAGTATATTCTATATTAGCACAATGACAAAATAGCCTAGCATCTCATTTCTCAGAACCTGTCTTTGTCATTAAGCAAGGCATGACTGTGTGGCACCATTTTATCAGATAAATGCGGGTAATGTGTCAGAGTTTAATTCTCTGTTTTAAGGAGTTTCATTTTAATTCTCCTTAAATATGATGCATTAGCGTCTCTCATTAGTGCAAGATAGGACATCCTGTTCTCACAGTTGATGGTATACTCCTCCAGGCTGATAATCAGGGGCATCTGAAGACTTGTTTTCCAAATGTTGATTAACTGGTTTCACTAGAAATAGCAGTTTTTAAGTAGGTCATTTGAGTCACTTATAAAAGTGCATGCGTGCTTCATTTTATGACAATAGTCCTTTAATATATGGAGAACACAGTCCTTCAAACAGTTTGCCTTTAGTAGGTTTGAAGAACATAAATCTGAAACTTCACATAAATCTGTAAATCTAAGTATTGTTTTATAATGCAAGTCATCACCCATTAATTTGCATATTTTGCAAGCTTATTTGCATAGATCCTTTGAAGGAGTCCCTTGTATTAACTAGTGTGTATTTAATATTCGTTCAATGAATAAAGAAAAAATAAACTGTTTCTTTCTTTTTTTTTTTAATGTAGTTTTCTCAGGAAAAAAAGTAAAATAAATGCATGAGATACTTGGAGAATGCTTAAGGCCTGGAATGAAATTGAAAATTATGATAAGGTACTAAGGAAACCTAAAAGAGTAAAATGCACCAGAGTGATCTTGTATACATTCAAAACTGATCATCTTATTTCTGCTTAAAATCTGTCATTGATTTTCTCCACTGCCTTTGAGATCCAAAGTTCATACTTCATAACATGACATAGAAGAGGATCATCTCTCCTGGTCTTCCTTTCCCCCACACATCTGCTTTTTATTTCAAACTATATGTGCTTCTTGATTTTTTCACGGTGAATTTGCACAACCTCAGAATCAAGTGTTGACAGCAAAATAATAAAGAGCAGGAATTCTGTGGTTAGGCTGCTAGGGTTCAAGTCTCAGCTCTGTAGTCTCCAGCTATGCAGCCTTCTGTGGTGCAGTAGTTAAGCAGGGCTTACAGAATGTCAAGATGTAAGGTAATCTCTAGATCAGTATTTGTATTATTCAGGTGTTAAAAGATTATACATTATTATTTCCCAGATGCTATCTTAGTCCATTGTTGCTCCTACAACAAAATATCTTAGGCCGGGTAAGTTACAAAAAGAAATGTATCTCTCACAGTTCTGGAGGCTGGAAAGTTCAAGATTAAGGCACCAGCATATTGAATGTTAAATTAAATTAAATTTGGCCTAAAGCTGCTTCCATACTTTGAAATTCTGCGTAGCAAACTGCACCTAAGTTAGTGTTTAGATAAACCTTACTTAAGAGTATATTCTTGTAACAAATAGCTGAGTCTCAGCTAATTACAGCAGCCAGATTTCATCCAATCACAGACTACCAACTAATAAGACCATGTCCACATAAGGCAAATGCCTCATTGCATTGTACCTAAATAAGGCAAATGCTGGGCCATAATCAAGCAAGCTGTTTCCGTACTCTGAATTCCTCTTTCTGCCTATAAATATTGCCTGCTCACATTGCTGAGTGGGGCTTTCTGAATCTCCACTGGTTTAGAGTACTGCCTGATTCATGAATTGTTCTTTGCTCAAATAAACTCTGCTAAAGTTAATTTGTCTAAAGTTTTTCTTTTAACAAGGGTCTGGTGAGAGCCTGTTCCTCATAGATGATACCTTCTCTGTGTCCTCACATAATGGAAGGGGCAGAAGGCACAAACAGTTCCCTTGTACCTCTTTTATAAGGGCACTAATCCCATTCATGAGCTCTCATGATTTAATCACCTCTGAAAAGCCCCATCTCTTAATACTATCACATTGGCAATTAAATGTCAACATATGAATTTGGGGAGGACACATTCAAACCATAGCAGATGCTTTCTATATTTTCATAAACTGAAAAACACAAGGCAAGATTCAAACTCCGGACCATATATTATTAAAAGCTGTTATTTCTTTATACCTCCCTCTTTCTGAGATATCTTTGAATCTTACCCCAACTCTCCAGTTTCACTCCTTTTGCGCTATTTTAGTGCCTCAATTTCAGTTTCTTTCATCTGAATTATTTCAGTTTCTTTCTAAATAAATTTCCATTCTCCCTCAATTTAAACATACTTAAATTATCATTTCAAATACAGGATCTGGACTTCTCACATCTTTTTCTAAAATATTTCAAGAAATCCTCAAAGGCTACAAGTGAAGTCCAACATTCAATTACAGCCAAGATTTTGTTTAATCTAGCCTCAACAAACCATGTGGCCTTAAGGGCTCTGCAGAGGCATTTTAGGGGCTACGCAAACATGATATTTTGAAATTAAATTTTAGATTACATTTTTACTATCCTATCAACACTAATAAAGAAGGAGCATGCACACTCAATTGTGATCTATCTTCAATTTAAAAGTATTAAAAATTACCAGATTGTCTCTGGGCATGGTGGCTCACGCCTGTAATCCAACACTTTGGGAAGCAAAGGTGGGAAGATCACCTGAGGTCAGGAGTTCCAGACCAGCCTGGCCAACATAATGAAACCCCATCTCTACTAAAAATGAAAAATTAGCATGGCATGTGGCACATGTACCTCAAGCTACTCTGGAGGCTGAGGCAGGAGAATCACTTGAGCCTGGGAGATGGAGGTTGCAGTGAGCTGAGATCGCACCACGTAGTCCAGCCTGGGTGACAGAGCGAGATTCCATTAAAAAAAAAAAAAAAAAAAAAAAAAAAGACTAAATTATGCAGTTGGGAGACAAATCTTAAAGTTTCCTCATCATCGAATTTCCTATATTTGGATATATAAAATATGTCATTGATAAAGAAGTTTGTAGCTCTGTATTTATCCTTTTATCATTTAGACCTCTGCATTTTGACTCACTTAAAT